GTCACATATGAATAAATATTTTTTAGTTAAAATTTTAAAGACTTCAGGAAATGTTGAAAAATTTCAACCTTTTATTCATCATAATCCAGATATAATATTATTAGACATAGTTGAAGTCTCAAACACCCTTTAAGAATTTATATCTCTTTTGATGTCCAATGACTTTTTTTCATCATTAAAAGTAAAAAAATCAATTTAAAAACTCTTTTTATTGAAACAATTATTATAGGTCAATTCTTGATGTTATCCTTAACTACCAAGAAATTGGAGATTTGATTATAACAATAGTTGAGAATGTGATAGCTCAGAAATACTCCCGAATTAATTTCTTGTGTTTGATATATTTAATTTAGCATTTATATGAGTTTGAAAATATATAATAAGGTTAAAGACATATTTTAGAGTTAAATGGAAAGAAAACTAAGAGACATGTGGAGAAGTTGATACTTGCTATTTTGGTCTTATGAGCTTAGGTGGGCCTAAGGGAGTCTATTAGGCTCCATTTCAGATCAAATTTAGATAGCAAATAGCTAAATGATGGATAGCAATGGGAAAACAAGTGGAAAGGTGTGGAAAAAATTAGAATAAACATGAGGAAGCATAAAAAAAGGTAGGAGCCTTTTAGATGAGGTGGCATGATGAAAGGTGGTGACCTTTTAAATGAAGTAGCATGTGAAAAGTTGTAACCTTTTAGATAAAGTAGCGTGTGAAAAATGATAATATTTTAGATGAAATGACATGTGAAAAGTGGTAATTCTTTTAGATGAAGTGACATATGAAAAGTGATAACCTGTTAGATGAAGTAGCATGGTGGAAGGGTGACAAACTTTCTCTCATGGCTCCCACTCCTATAAATAGGAGATGGGGGAATGGAGGAAGGAAAATTATGGATGGGAGAGAAATAGTGAGAAGCATAGAGGTGAGGTTTTTTAGATAAAAATGTTGAAAAAACTCTATTGAAATTATGAGAAAAAAGAAAAAGAAAGAGAAGAGGAAAAAATCCTCACAGTCAAAAGGAGGTTATAAACCGTGAGAAAAAAGTGACCAAAATTATCTCGAAACTCTGTCAAATTTTTTAGAGGAAAAGATCATAAATGAAATTGGAACTATGTCACAATTGAGATTATGTGTTCTACAAGGAAATTGAAGCAATATAAGGGGAGATTCTATCTAAGTGGATAAATAAAGCGATAGATAAAATGAAGTATTTAAAGTATGATTGCCAAGGACCTAAGGTAAGTAGGTAATATGGATTCATTAACTTACGTAGATTTGAAGTATTTTACGTATTTTCAGTATAAAAAAGTATAAGTAGATTTTGTGATATTATACCTTATATATGTTTGAAAAATATTTAATTTGTTCTTTCGTATGTGCTAAGTGAGTATTTGTTAAAGTTTTACTTCGACATAAATGTTATTATATTTTTTTTCTAAATGTGATTTTCATATATGTGCATCACTCATTATGAAAATTGGTTGTTCTAAAAGCACATGCATTATACTAGACTTTAGTGTATATATACATATCGTTCCGTGTTGGGGTGTATTGGCAAAGTGATAACTATGCACCCAAAAATGTTGTTTTGTGTTCGGGTGTATGAGAAATCAGTGTGATCTGCATGCCATGACCATTCCGTGTTCGGGGGGTAGTAGTGTTTTAAGGTACCCATGTATGTCGTTTCATATTCTTGTGCATAGGGAACCATTGATAAGTACATATGCCTATGTAGTATATATAGTAACTAATTGATCCTCTATAATAGTGATGAAATATACAATGAAGCAATATGAATCCATTTTTTAATTTCATTAGTATGATTTTAGTATGTTCTTTTGACCATCTCTACATATGTCATGCAGACCACGACCTTACCTAAAGCTTTGTGCAATTAGATTGACTTGGTGGTCAGAAATTTTGT